TTGGTCACAATTTCATACCACGCATCAAATCCAAAACTAACACCAAAGTAGCTTTAGGTAGGGCCATCTGAACGATGAGGATATTGATGTGGGAAAAATTCTGAGGTTCCACCGGCCACGTAAAGTACATTACCGACATGAAAGTGCCCAAGACAGACAACGGGAGTGGTAGGTGTAGCGGACTAGGACCTTATCAGCGTGTTCGGATAAATTAACAAGCAAAGTAACCACTACAAATTCACAAAATCACAATAGGAAAGGAATGAGTAGTCAAATGGGGACTCACGAATGTGTAGATCCAATAGTCCACTACACTCATCCAAATGCAGTAACTGGCTGTGAAAGGAAATATTCGCTTGTCGGAATTTCCCACAGATGGTTCCGCGTGCATGATATATTCCACGGTAGGAAAATTATTTACGGCTAAAAATGTCACAGGTATCTATTGTGACGTTCAACAGTTGACACAAACACAGAGATTTGGTCCCACTGGTTCAGCGGAGCGTAAATACACTCGACAGCCACTACATAGGTTAGGACGTTGGTGATCTTCGAGTATTTCGAAGGAATTAGTTTGTTAGACACCGTAAGGCATAACACCAGATAGATGTGAGGTCTGAATAAAACCGGGAATTATCCCAAATGAAGTTTGCTACATGTGAGCTAAAGAGAGAGTGGAACTAACAAACATCCGGTGAAAAATTCCATTTGCATGTCAACCGCATTGTGGCATTTCTAGATGTTGACCATGAACACAGTGAATCAAGTTGCTTGCTGCTGTTGAATGTTTGTTACGCTCATGTACTGGAATCTTCACGTTTTCTATACTTTAATAGTAATCTTCATCTACGGAACTAAAAAAATGTGTATCATTTTTTGTACAGTAGTTTTCTGTTCATTAGTCCTTGTAGATGCCTTCCAGTATGGTGCTTGTTGCAACCAGGACAACCTATCTGGTTGGTTGGTTGTCTCACATGTTACACCTTCGGCAGCTGACGTGAACCTTGTTGATGTGTGAACCTAGGGGCAACTAGGCCCCCATTCCATATAAACCTTGGAAAACGTAACTTGTGTGATAGGTGGAAGGACAAGGGAACGTGAAATACTAATCTGTTCAAACAAACTCAGCGCTTTGTTCTTTTCATACAGCGCATCGTTGTACGAATCCAGTACCTGGGTCAATCTGAAATTTAAACAAACGTACATTTTGCTTTCTTGTGATTTTTTCCCGATCGACACCGCAAAATAACTCTTTGTTTATAATTTTATTTCATGATATCATATCGACGTATGCGGGGTCAAAGGTTAAGTTGACAATAAAGCGCATGATTCTTCTTCAGGGTTATTAGAAAACAATATTGTTCTGTTTTTAGTTCAAGTTTGCTATTCTCCACATTTCCATAGCGCTGATGAGCAAATTCCAACTGCTTACACCAACCATTAAGTACGTGGAATTTCCACGAACCATTGCCTGACTATAATAAACTCAGCACTTTGCAATAGTTGAAACCGAGTTTTATGCCGAGCTAGTCAAAGTTGAAACCGAGTTTTATGCCGAGCTAGTGTCTGGACGGCTTAGTATTTTTCGTTTTCCGTTTACTGCCTCAGGAATGCTGCTACCATTTTTCTTTAGAATCTGCCTCTGCAGAACGACTAGAATGGCCTTCTTAGCTGGCTAGAGGCTTTGTACGCTTGGTCAGCAACTCTGACAGATGAAAGCTGGCGAACACTGATCAGCAATTCAAAAGTAATTCGGGTAGAGAATAACTTCACAAGACCAGTGAACATTCCATCTGAGCAGTCGTTACTCGATGGGCCAGTCAACCATTGACGCCGTGATTTGAAATCCTAAATCGAAACATTAGTGAGGCCGAAGGTTTAACTGTTCAAGCTATTAACCTGGGAGTCGCGGGCTTGAAAACTCTCTGGAGTTTCATGAGATGTTCAGTGTCAATCATCCCCAATAGGGATGAAGCATATCTCGGCCTTTTAGAATAGATTGACTTGACAGAAGGATGTCTCAGTTCAACACACTGATATATCATCCACTATTATCCATCGCGTCAACCGGACTGTCACATACAACAGTTTTAACGGGGTTATACAGAACAGTTGGACGCAATCTACAAAAACGGAGCCGGACTGGTGCAAGCAGTACTGATTGCGGAAAATCTGTTCTAATCCGTGCAGCTGACTGACTGAACAACGTAGTCTCAGTCTGCCGAATAATACGCACAAAGTTTGAAATTTTGGCTGAAGTTAGCCACTCAGACCCCAGACAACACCTGGAATGGAATGAACTGCGTTCTCCAAACCGATACAATAAACTATTGGACAGTTCCATCCATAAAATTTACTTCGTACCTTCAAAAAGCTACTTGGTGACGTAACAAAAAGTATCATTTAGCCACTTGTCGTGCACTCAGAACAACATGACTGTGGGAGATGACTGCTCCAAATTCGTATCAGACAAGCGCATTTAAAGGAACTACACCATCAAAAGTTGGAGAGGAAAGGTTTATTGGCTAAAATTGAGGAACACCGAAACGAATTTGAATCCTCGAGTTCATTTTTCAAAAAAGTTGCTGCGTGGGTTGATTCAGCCTCTGAAGCCGGATTTTCAGGCTGTAAATCAGTACTTGACAAAGACTCCATATGTTGGTGTATAACAAACAGTTCCTAACAGCGCAAGTGCACAGCCTCAGCTGCTCCTAAAGTATCGGCAATTAGGAGCGATGGCGCAGTTTAAAAGCATTTAGGAGGCGCTTGTGGTTTGGTGTGGCAGCTGCCTACCTTAGCGTGTTAAATAATGGCTCTGTGGATACTGTGCGACCAAATGGGAGACATAGATTCACACAAGAAAACCATAGCTGAGTGGTAGGCTTGAGCAACTGGAACATGGGAGAAAAAGACAGCGAGGATGCAACGGAATGAAAACCGACCTACTAATGAGTAGGCAAAGTTGAATCGACAAAATCTTACGAGGCACTGCGCACACCTTAACAAAGGTTCAGTTGTTCAAAGCACGGTTGACGTGACAGGGTTGGAAGTCCAAATAAACTACTAACGCACATTGGGGCTTTTTGGATTCCATCTTCTTCCGGCATACCTAAGAAGGCCTTTCGGTGTCTGGACAATATCAATGTCTGATCCACTGTGGAAGTCACGTGACCGGCATGTGAAGGGTCCGAGAGCCTCCGAAATTCAACAGACAAGTTAATCTAATGGATGATCAGATGTGACGTTAAAGTTCGCGACTGTGACATGTAGCGTCGTCTTTGGCTTCTCAGTTGACGGAACATCAACCATATATCGACAGGTAGGTTGTCGGACTCAAGCCTCATGTGTGAGTTTTTGTGTGAAAAGTACTTTAAAAAAAACAATGGCTGTACGCTACCCATGACAAGTGTGAATACTCTTTGGGGCTTGAGAAGACTACGCTTCCGGCTGTCTCGTTGATCCCAGTAAGCCTTGGATGGTATACACTGGCGTTTTGAGCACACCTGGCACTGGAGACTAAAACGGCAGAGTTGACACATCGTTTAAAGACAATGATCATTTTCAGGGGCAGAACATGATTCAAATTTATCCACCTGCGTGTACATCATTTTGAAGCAGTGTCGTGCTGTACACATTACTTTGTTTTCGTGTAAATTTATCTCTCTCCCTGGGAAAGCGAAATCTGAAAGTCAGACATCCTTTGGCTTATTCCAATGCCTTTGTCTGTAACTGGGCGAAAAAAACGAAGCACGAAGGTACCGAACTAGAAACTGAGGAACACAATAGCGAAACAGACAAGGCCCAGCGCATTCTGCTTACCATGCGACAGAAAAAATGCTTGAACCGGTCACGCGTTATTCGCGTGACGCCAAACAGACACAACATTTTAAGGAACTTGCTATGACTGAACCAGACTATGCACCAATCTAGGTCTGGACAAATAATTTTATCACCCAAAGTTAATACTTGCGATTTGACAAGACAGTCTACTGCGGACTAATTCAATAAGGACTGTTAAACTTCTTGATTTGAAGAACAAGGAGCTACCTGCTAAAATTGGTTACCTAGGTAACAGGTGGACAATAACTGAATACCTCTTTGATTAGAACGGTTTTCAACGCATCATGAGTGACATCAGCGTTCAACACTGATGTTTCGTCTCCGTAAAAACATGGCTTATTTGAAGAGATGATTCTGATGAAAACAATAAAAGTCGATGGGGAAGGGACTTGATACCACCGTACCACAACCATTCTGTGGTGCCTACACTTCCACACTTTCATTCAGGCAGTCTGGATAGAAACTGACAACAAGAACGCCACTGACATCAATTTGCAGCCATATCTTGCAGTGTACCCAACCAGGCGCAGTAAGGATCACGCGATCCCCAACCCAGAAGGCCGTTAGCACCGTGAGCACTCAAACGTTCCAATTTTTAATTGCCTTGTTACGGATTTGCCGATGCCAACACATACGAGTTATGGTTCTGGGACAATGGTCATCGAACACCTGAAGACGTCTCAGTTGCGCTGCTTGAACAGGCCAAGTCTCAAAATCATACAACAAAACAGCCCGCACTGTAGCCTTATACACTTGGTCCCATGTCATCTGAGAAGAGAACGCTTTGTGGTTGAAAGCCAATTTGTTGTACACATCTCATGAAGTTTTGTCCTAAAGCATATTACAGCCTTGTTACTTTAATAAAAAAAGACGTAATAAAGCAGTAACGGAACCAAAACGGACAAAAGATCTTGCTTTCCTCTAGCCAATAAAAGGCTCAGGTGCTGCAGTCATGGGGAAGATGGTCTATATGGCCAAAATGAAGTCAATACTCTCTGACGAAGGAAAATTCCGGAGATATAGTGATCCTGATATGAACCAATGAATAGAAAAGTAGATTGGTCAGAAACTCAACATCCCATCATTGCTTGAGTTTTATTTAGAACAACTCAAACCTATTGGGATCAAAACCACACACCTACAGGGGGCCCACGATATCCATGAAGAGACCTATTCTGACTCGACAGGAATCCGCCTACCACAAGTTTGTCAGATGGTTGGCCAAAATTTTAACTCCCATCCGTGAGGCCCTTGCACAATGCCGTGTAAGGGATTCTAAACCAATTGACAAAACGTTTTCCACGGATTTTAATTCTTTATTCATCAGTATCCTTTTGCACCGGTTAGTAGAACATTTGTGCGACGTTTTACAATCCACGAAATTTCCACTTATATTCCTTGATTTCTTCAAGAGAGTTGATTCTCCCAAGTACCAAAAATATCCGCTTTGAATAGTTGAGACAGAGCGTATGAAAAAACATGGCGTGATAACGGGTAGTCCGCTTGGGCCTTTACTAACATATATATTTGTAGGCATGACTGAAAAACACTGTTGTAATCAGTACTATACTCCAAAAAGATGTGTACAACATTGCAGTTTTGACAGACTAACCATATCGAGAACCCGTCCAACAACGTGAAAATTTTGCGTCCAAAGCTGCCAGTGTCTTTTGAGGTAGAAACTGGTAACAGCATTCCATTTTTGGATATTCTTACTGCCGTATGCCCAGATGGTATTCTTCAAGGTTCATTGGTTGTTGATCAGGTGGCTGTTGATCTGTTCGCCGAGCGTGGCTATTGGCTTGCAAGCGTTTCGTCACCATACAAGGAGATATCATCAGTGCGCAGTTGGGTTGGTATCGCACTGTCTTCGTATTCTTGCCGTATGATTCAAATGGATAGAGGCGACCTAATGTTTAGAATATCGGAATGCTGTTGGTCAAACGGTTCGGAGAAATGCCTTAGTATCTCCACAAACCCCGTCAGTCGGGAAAGTCAGTCAGCTAACGGGCTTCGGTAAAAGCCTATTCTGCGCCCTTCTTACCCATTGAAAGAGATACAATGAAAATACTTACTGCCTCCGGTTGGATGGTTAAAAATGAAACAACCCCAGTCATACTGGTGGTGGGTTGTCTTATTGCAACATAAATATCGTGGTTATTTCCAATAAAAGATGTACCGTGAATCAAACACTACCTGACCACTTTTCAATTAAGGTTGGTACCGTGATCGGTCTTACATCCCCAGCCGCTCAACTAATACCGATGTCATCAGCGAGACGTTTCAATTTTCGATGTATCCCGCGTGGTGTATCCATTCTCTCTGTTCAACACATTGTGTACCAATTCACGTGCAGTTCCCATGAGACAGACACTGACAAATCCAATGCGGACATGCCCCAGATCGTTATTGAGTCAGGTGGCTTAGCGATCGACCGATGACCAGTAGACCGAGACACGAAAACAATGCTCATCATCATCACCAAATACACTGCATCCACAGAGTTGATCCCAGTACTGCTTCTTGTTACCTTGAAATCGTTGGGTTTCATTGCGGCCAAGCTGGTTCATCAAAACCGACGGAGATTGTGAACACAAGCTTTCTGCTTGCCTTGGACTAACGAATCGGACCTAGTTGGCTCACCGTAACTTTGCCTCTTTTCCACTATATTAATGCTATTCATTCTCAATTATCATGTAAAATTGGTGGGTTTTAGTCTGGCGGCTAAAGAGGTAGAAGCGAATTGTCACAATCCCACTGTTGGTTGTCTTTTGCAACATAAATATCGTGGTTATTTCCAATAAAAGATGTACCGTGAATCAAACACTACCTGACCACTTTTCAATTAAGGGTGAGCGAAACCAGCAGCCTTTATCTTCATGGGGGCGACCAGTAAGACATCTTGACAAGGCGTGCGAGGTAATACAGAGGGTCAGGGAGCCACGATTTATAAAGACAGCTTGCAACATCTGCTGTCTTGCAGCAATAAGGGATGGTCCACTTTATAGAAGATCCTCTGAGCCGGTTTTCAGAAACTTTCAAGTTGGATTGCGAGCTACCTTGT